AAACAAAGATTGTGATCCCATGACTATAAAATATGTTTCATGAGATATGGTTACTGCACCATCAACTTTACTGGTGTGGTGGCAATAATATTACAAACCAAATACCAATTTCTGCATTATTTTAGTGAGGATTTTTTACTTTTTTTCCTTTTTTTATGTTTTGAGGTATAGCATAAGTTTGTAATTAGAAGGTAGTATGTAATATATGGAAGCTCATCTACCTACTAAAGAAGCTACAAACCATGAAAATTGTTTAGATTGGGTTGGTGTTGTGAAGGACTGTCATATTCATACTATGAAGTTAGATGGTATATTCTTGACTTAAACTACTTTAATTTTCCAAATCATCGATCTAAGGATACCAATTCTGTGCGTTTGAGATGGTGGTGTTTTCCTCTAAAGTAGCCACTCTGAAGATTTTTCTATTTTGGCTAGTTTTGGTGAAATTGTATTCTGTAAAGGATTGTCATTATTAACAGGGAAATTTGTTTAACAATGAAGTTTGATGATTTGTGAAACAAAGTTGATTGTGATGTTGTGTATATTCGGGTATAATCAGAGGATGAGGTTATATTGGAAATGGGAAATAAGATGTATGCAGTATTGAACACGTAGATGATACTTTTATTACTGTTCTAATGTGCATGTGGTTGATCTGTGTATCCATAGAGGGAAATAACAGAGAGATAATAATAAAGAAGTAGTTGGTCTCCTTTTAGGGCAGGCCAGCAAAGCAAAAAGAAGGTGTGCTTTAATTTAGTTTAATTATTAAGAAAGTTGGGCTAATATTGCAACTTTAATTAAACACAAACCAACTTTGTTGTGGCAAAGGCACCTCCAACATTTTTAATTAGTTATGTGCACAAGTTAGCACAATCACATGCGGGTTGTGGAAAACTTTGTTCTTTTGCTTTCTCTTAATTAGCGCGAGAATTCACTGTAACCTGAAAACCAACCACAAAACAATGTTTTATTTCTTTTCCCCTGTCATTACTGTTTGAACCTCTTTTGGGGTCCATGTCTGTTATCTATCTATTCGTACGTACAAACACATTATTATATATAACTATTATTTCTTTACGATGTCAGAGGAGTTTCAAACCATCAATCAAACATGTATACTATATAAACTAAAATCTAATTGATATATCACAACTAAAATTTTCTGGCCATCACTGTCTATCAATCATGTATGAATGTAGTCAGAGTACATAACTGATGCCAAGTTATGTGGCTGAGATATTAATGTGACCACTCACCAAGGTGCCAAAGTATAGATAATGGAGGTGCACAACATGATCATTATTATTATTATTCCATTGTAGAGTATGATAATTCCGCTATCATTCACAGAAGAAATGCAAAATCTATTAACCATGAACCACGTTCAATATCTTTATTTTTTGCTGGTGGCTTAATCAATGCAACATATGGATTGTCATAGATCATGGTTGTGATGGCAGAGAAATATTTTTCGTGTTTTTGGATATTTGATGAATCTGCAGCAGCTGCGGGTTCGTCAACACGTAACATACATAAAGGGTGAAAGATTAAAGAAATGTTTTAACGCACAGGATACAAGGTATGATCCACCACCAATCCCATTGCGGCACATCCTCAAAGACCCCCAATTAATGTTTGCACTCCCACCCAACGTGCGTATCAGTATCAGAGAGGTTTCAGAACATGTTAACAGTTCACAACTAGTGACCTATCGACAGAACAGCATCATTGCTATGCTCCCCAATACCAGGGCATCTTCGGGTCACATGGCCACCCATGTGGCCTAGGCGTGTAGTGTAGCGTATCCAACAGGTGCATGCCTCAAACTAGTTAACCCATTCCAATGCTTATTTTTTATTCCTCACAATTACACTTCTGGTATAGTTTATGTACATTTAACATGCTCAACACACTGCTATGTTATGTATTCCAATCACAAACCACTCCACCAGGCACCACCACTCTTATGTGGGCTCGACCCTCTAAGCGGGGACCGATTCCCTAAACTACCACACGTGTAACAAATTTGCATCTCTCCTTTCCCACAACCTAACACGTGTACTACAGGACCATTAATAACCAGCACAAACTCTGGCACCTTAAAATGCCAATGTTCCTATTTCCCAATCTTCCCCATGCTTTATTTATGACTCTGCTACAGCGTGCCACCCGGATCCACAATTATTGATTATGTGTTTGTTTAGTTTATAGTAAATGCTTCAGCTGAATCAGAGAAAAAAAGAAGAAGAAGAAGAAGAAGAAATAATGTTGCCGCAGTTGAATGAAATTAAAATGTGTATGTACTTAACCACACATTTAACGTATAATATGTTATGGGTCTGATATGATCCACTTGTTTATGGTGTTCCCATAACTAAAATTAATTTTTTTCCGTTGGCAGTTTTTAACTACTAGGTTGGGGTTGGTGGGAGCAGGAGGAGTATATAAAATGGGTGACCGGGGTGATAACAGTGCTGGCTAGCTGCTAGGTACCTCAAATTTAATATATACTTTGGAAAGCATTGTTTATAGTAAAATGGAAGGCATTGTTTTATATCTGTTTCCTAAGATCACGAGCCACGAGAGGAGATGAAGAAGGGGAATATATCAGAAAGGCGTAGTTAGTGAAAGGGAGAAAAGACAATTGGCAGAAAAATGGTGTTGGCTTTTACATCTCGCCAATAATTGAAAGTTTCAAAGTGTTAGTTTAATTCAACTTAGACATCAATGATAGATAAATCTGGTGGACTCCATCTTTCCACGTCCGACACAAATTAACAGCTGAGCGTTGTCAAAGGTTGGAGCCATGTTGGTGTCTCTATTCCAAATATCTATGTTATTCCTCCCATCAAACATCTCCTTTTGAGTGGATTCCAACTCTTCATTCAACCATATAGATTCCCTAACCCGGTGCCAAACCAAAAGTTTAAGCTTCATTGTCCTCCTTACCAACTCAATTTAATTCAGATTCCCTTTCACCCTGAGTGACTTACTTCATGCCCAAAAAAACAAAAAACAAAAAAGAAGAGGGTTCCTTACAACTTAAGCACCAATTATTCGGCCACTCCTGTTTCTCTCTTCTTTTCTTTTTCCTAACTTTGCTATGTGCATAACACGCTAGAATCTAAGCCATAACCTTGCCATCTCGATCATCACATTATGGATTAGCTTTTGTGTCTGTTTCTTGTTTCAAGAACACGGGCATGCACAAGCTTTATGCATGTGTATAATATCTCTGGTCATTTCACATGATTTGTGATTGTTAGTTTTTTATATTAGCCTTACCCATGTCTTATTATTATATATGGTACCACCTCAAATACCTATTTAAACAAAGCAGGCACTTGGTGTAATGCATTTCTCCCAAACCTTTCCTCCCTTTCCTTTAGAAAAGATTGAACATCGGTTTCTGTTATCAAAATGTAAAATGAACCACCTTTTGTATATACGGGGCACGAAACCTCCTTTCCTATTTTATCGCCATGCTGCATGTGATTCTAGAACCTAATTATCTAACCTACCTCTATATAAATAATTAGTGAAGGCCTAGTTGCTGACATTCAATGTAAGCAAGAATTTATGGATCCAGAATCAACCAAAGACTTCATTTTATTGCTCTCATACTACCAAAATTTCTAAACAGTTACTTTAATAATATCTTGCTTCACCAATTATTGATCTAAAATCAAACATGGATGATGTAGTGTACGTAGAGACATATTGGTGGATATACTAGGGGTGTTCAATTATTTTTCTCACTACAAATACTACTTTTAGTCCATTTTGTGATGCCTCTGACCTTATCCCTCTGCTGGGTTTATGGTAATATACCATTTCATGATACAATTGCCAATACTTAGAGGAGTACAGAATTGTCAGTATACTGCATGACAGAAAGAAAGCTATGGGAGTGCATCTGGCATGGACAAGGGACCTTGATTCAAAACGTTGAATAAGGACATAGCATATAATTGAATTTTTGAGCACCAAAAAAGTCTAGCCCACAACTACTACTTTTGAGTCAGCTTCAGACACAGGATAGAAATATTCTAATAAGCCAAGTCGATAAGGGCCCCTCCTATGCTTATTACCTGAATCTCCGAGCATCCAATCATTGATGGTTATGATAATCTTATCTCCACATTAAGGATATCTTACTGAGATTGGAAGCCCGTTTTTCCTGAAATTGCATATAAGTTCTAGTTTCTTATATGCACGTGCGATCAGTGGTCCTAAACACCATACAAGTGGATGATTGTACGTAGGGATAGAGAGGCTTTCTTTTTGACATGGCTGTGTATAATGTAGCCAACTATGAAGCAAATTTCACAGACTTTTAATCCACAATAAGTTTAGCTAGCACAATCAATTGTTTTCCAAAAGAACGTGTTTGTGTAACCTTCACTACCAAACCAAATATATTGCAGAGAAGAAAACCCATAATTGAGAATAAATAAAAAATTATATGAACTCACCCTTAACATCCTGCCCCATTTGCCAAAAGACTACACTTCGCGATTCAAGATGTCATAATCCGTTTAGTTCTTTGTTCATGTAGACTATCGTAAAAATACAACCATATTTTTCCAAAATTCTCTTAGCGACGGTAATTCCAATGTTCTTTAACCATTAAACAACACACCAATTTGTACGACCATGATTGTGAGACTGTGTAAGCATGTCACGACTGAGAACTCATATATTATATGTTTTTCGATACGTAACTTGTAATATATATTATCATATTTGGAATAGTACAAAACTAATCCATTCAGAATTACATTTGATGCAACAGAGACTTTTCCCCTGTACTACAAACTACGTGGCTAATTACATCAATGCAGACGTGCTTCAAACTCAGAAAGACACTTTTGTCTTTCCTTTTTCCATACATTTTTGTTCTCTGTTCTAATCTGAACAAAACATAGAAAAAAGGGTCCTATATACTACCCTAGCTTAACTCCATTTTTATGGCGGGTAGGGATGTACATTATCATCTATTCATTTACACACGGGAGCGTGCTCGGAGTCGAAGGGAAACTTGTTTCCACTCCACCAAACGTTGAAGGAAATCCATCACCTGCATGAAACAAATGAATGAATAAATATATAAACAAACAGATATATCTTTTAAGCATACGATACCATGGTGCAAAATAGATCAAATTATACTTGCCTCGCTTGGTTCTTGTAAAGAGTACGATGCAGTAGTGACCTTTGGAAATTTCGAGACAAGAATCCCAAAACCTTGTCCTCTGTCTCTTAATTTCTGATTATCATAAAAAAAATTTGAAAACCACTGGTTAGTTGACTTGGCCTATAAACGAATATAATTTATTAACTAACCAAGAAGTATTTTTTTATATAGAAATAACAAATAAAAGTAAATAGACTAAGATCATTGGATACCTTGAATGCATCTTCATCGGTTTTATCATCTCCAATGTAAACAGGAAAGACATCGTTACAGTTGGCAAATCCTGTTGAAAACGATTTATTATTTAGATATATCAATTAACGAGTTAAAAAATTACTATATATTTAGAAGCATGTGGATAAAAAAAAAAATCTTTCAGTGAATAAATTAATCCCACAGGGTCTATGTGTGGTCCTCTTAATTGTTTTTAGTAGTCAAACACTTGAAGAATTATCCAACTAGTGGCTTATGTGTGGCTCTGCAATTATTATGTTCAAGAAATATATGTAGTGCTTGTGACAAATAAAAGGAAGAACAAGAATGAAATGGATTAAAACCTACCAAGTGACTCTAACAAAAATTCCAGTGCCTTCCCTTTGTCCCATTTAATGGATGGACGAATCTCTAATACCTGCAATAAACAAATGTATTGAAAGTGAGACATCTTTCATTTCATATTATCTTAACCCTCTTTCAAAGCTATTACCTTTAAACTAAATCAAATACCCCACCACAAAAACAAAGTTGATATGAAGAAAGAGAAAATAAAACCATGGCCCACCTTTCTTCCTTGGTTAAGACGAAGCTTCGGGTACTCTTTTAATACTGATCTCACTTCCTGTGCCAGTTCACTCCATTTCTGGGTATATGATCACACTTAACTCAGCCAAAGTCTAAATCAAATTTTCAGGTAGCAATAACATGGCTGGCTTAAGAGTTTATGTACCTTTTCTTCAACGCAGCGAAAATGAACTGAGGCGCAGAACTTGTTGTTCTCCACAATAGCTCCAGGGATTGATTTCATTTTCTCAACTAATCGATTGTACACCTGAAAATTAGTACAAAAGAAAAAGATAATTATTTACTATATTTTTAAAATTAAAAATATTAAGATATAGAGGCATGTAAAATTGACCAACCTCATCTATCATGGGAACAAATTCACTGGCAGGTTGAAAAAGAACTGGCTCTCCCTTCTCCTGCAGATCATAATAATCAAACTAAAATTAGTATTTTTTATTTTCTTAGAAATGATAAAAATTCATGGCCTTACTGTATTGCACTACTATATGTAGTTCACTTCACTCACTTTGTTGCTGTATTTGGAGTCTCTTGTTGGCCCTTGAATATCCATGCCATGGCTTCCCGCATAATATAGCTCAGCCAAGCGCACAAAATTGTAAACCTATTTTTTGCAAAACGACACCAAATTACTGCTTTTTTCCCCGAAAAAGTAGAAGAAGAAGAAGAAAAGAATAAAGACAGAGTTGAAATTAAGCATACCTTGTCTCTGCATCTACCGGTAACTATTGCAGTGGGAAAACACCTTGCAAGTTTCCTCACCGTTTTCCTCATCTGACATGTGACAATACCATATGCACGTTAGCAACCAAATTATAGTTATGTGATATGATATGTTCAATAATTGCAAGCGTGAATACTAACCGAATCCGACATGAAAGCACGGTCTGGATCATCAACAATAGGTGACAAAGTACCATCGTAGTCCAGGAACATGACGATTTGCTTTCCCCTCGATGCATCCATAATCTGCTCAAACATGTCTAATGCAGAAGGGTGGCGAAGCTGTTTGACAAAGAACACGCGTTACGCGCACGTTAGAGAAAGATCAGATCCGTAAGTAGTTCAAAAGAGGCGTATTTTTATTCACAAAGAGTGGTTCTGGGTTCTCACAATCCAAGAGCTGTGTTCTTCAGCCAAAGAAGGGTTTGATTTAGCGTGGGTGGGAGAAGAGGCTCTCATGGAATCCACCCATGCATTGATTCTTTGTCCTCCATTGATCTCAAGGTTCTTCAAAACCCTCCTCCTCGGAATGGGAATGTAGCCTCCCGGCGCTGCCGGTGGCTTCTGCGCAACCGTTAGGTCCCTGTTGATCCCGGATTTTGTCTTGGACGGTATCACATTCTGCTGCGTCATTTTCACTGCAGATATAATAAACCCAACCAAATTATTATAAATTTTCAACACCGTGTAGTTTTCGAGGATGTTAAGAAAATCTAAGGCTACTGAACCTTAAGGTTCCAGAGGGAGTATACAATGTTTTTGTTACAGTTGAGCGCTTCAAGAACCAAGCGCCAATCGATCCGAAGAAGAAGAAGAAGAAAAGGAAAAAGAGATTTTGGGAGAGTTGGTAATTGCAAGAGAAGAGAAGCGAAGCAGAGAGAAGAAGAAGTGAATGTGAGTGTGGGGGAGAAGACAGAACCCGAAGCTTTAATTTATAGTTGTTACAGAAGGGAAGGTCCTGAATGGTGGGACCCACGTTTGAAAGAGAAAGAGGTCCCACAACTTTGCCCCCACATTCGACCCCGACGATATTGTTGAGGTCCCCGCCACATACCACACCATACTCTCTCCTTCCATTTTCACTACTGCTTCTTCTTCTTCTTCTTCTTTCATCTCATCCAGTTATTATTAATTTTTGATTCATTAATTCATCAAGTAACACAGTCTTACTTTTGTCTTCTCTCTCTAACTTGTGTTCTTTTTTCTTTTTCTTTACCAACAAATTAAATAAGATTTCTCCACGTGGTCGACATCCCTTAGCCGACTCTTTCACTCGCCTTCCTGCCACGTCCTTTTGGAATGGACCAGTAATCGTTTTTAGTTTCATTATTACTTTTTTTATATTGTTAATTAAATAATTTAGTGCTGATTTATCATCCACACATTCAAAACTACAACTTCTGTAATACATAATTAAAATAATTAAATAAAAAAATTCATAAATTAAAATTAATTTATACAAAATTTTTAAATATAAAAATTATATCACTTTTTTTATAAATTAATTTTAATCATTGGAAAATTTTATTTTTTTATAAATCTTAATGAAAAAGTTTGTCCACATAAATATATGTACCTTTTAATATATTATTTATTATTCAATCTATAAGAAAGGAAAACTTTAACAAAGTAAGAAAATTTTAATAAATGTTGGATGAGTGTTTATGTTTTGAAAATCTTCGTCTATCTTTTTCATTATTTATAGTAGCCTAAGCTTGTTGATTTTATACAATGAAGTAAAATAAACATATGCATATTTTTAGTTCTCGTTTTAAATATTAAGGTATCAATTTTTAAATTGAAATCAATAAATATATGATAAGGTGAATATGATTAAGTTAAAAAAGACAATCCCTGTAATTGGAGTACATAACAACAAAATATCTATTACTCTTTTAAAAAAAAAATTCAAAATAATTCTCCACTACTTAACTTAACAATCGACTACTCATTTAAGCTTTATTAAGTTTAAGTGGTTCAAAAACTAAAATGATTGAGACAGTTGATAGATGTTTTTAATTTTCATTTTGTTTCAAGTGTTTTGTTCAAAAGCCCAAATAGACAAACTTAAACCCAGAAAAAAATTAACAATTAAATTGTTTTAATAAACCACAACAATTAACATTTTCTTTATTAACGTTTTAAGATTACAAGATTATTTTTTGCTATTATGATTACATTATTATAATTTAAATTTAAATTAATGTGATGATCAGACAGGTTTTTCGGTGGAAAAACGAAATTAATCATAAAGAAATAAATATTGCAATCAACAATTAATTAGATATTAAATAATCAAATTATATAATTATTGTTATTATAAATATGGTGCTATCATAAAATTAAAATTAAATCCTTGAGTTTAAATCACGATAAAAGCCAAAGTACAAAAGCCTATTTTCATTTCACTTATATTCTTTCGGTGGCTTTTTCTTCTGTACGCGGCGCTAAAAATGGGATCTGTAGTTTTATGTAGTTACAAGCGATACTTTAAACCGAATGAAATACTACATTATTTTTTTATTTATACTTTAAACAAATATTCATACAATGCATTAAATCATTTTTAATTATTAAAATATCTTTTCCCAAAAATAACCCAACACAACGTATTACTCAAAGAGACTTTAAAGGAAACATGAAAAGAAAACTTTCGGGAAAATTTTATTTTATAATTAAAAATGTCTAATGTATTTGAACGAATATTTTAAATAATTAAAACGTGAGTGTTATATATCGTATAAATCTAATTCTCTCCTTTAAAAAATAATAAAATAATTAACCTATGACAAATAATGAAAATCTTAATTAAAACTATGAGCGAATGATACTTATATGAGAAAGAGTATTTTGATATGTAAGTGAATAAATATAAATTTAATACATTTAAGATTTGAGAAAATAATTAATACCAACAAAATTTAAAAAGTTTTTTGAAATAAGAATAAAAAACAAAGTGTTTAACATAATTGTGAATATAATATAATATAATATAAAGGAATCATATATTTATAATATTGGGGTGGGTGTTAAAAATATCGATTGAAAGAACTCTTTAGAGAAAATTGATTGAAGTGATGAAAAATAGTTTATGAAATTTATATTAGTTATTAAAATTTATAAACAGTTTCATTTTTAATCCTTACAAAATAATCTTACTTTGCATAATTCTTTGGACTTATAAATTGAAATACGATTGAAATGGAATGGGTTATTTATGAAACCAAATTGTATCAAATTGACCATCCAAAAGAGTACGGATACGAGTTTGAAATTTTGACCCATTTTTATCATAGAATTTAACGTTGATGCTGCGTTGTCCGTACAAAAGCAGTAGTTTGAAAATTGAAACCTTGGACGACTGAAATACCGTTGGCCCTATACCACTGTTATGTCATATACCCATTTTAATTTTGCATCTTATATCAGAAAAAATTCTTCCCAAATATAAATACTGTGAATAAACATGAATACATCATAAGATGATTTTTTTATAGTTTAATTATATTTTACCCTTTTAAATATTATCTTTATTTGTTCAAATTTCAGTATTTTTGTTCCTTTTAAGTTTTTTATATTTTTAATAATTTTTAGTTTTTTATTAATTATATTAGTTTACTGTTTAAAAAGAAATATTATTTAATATAATTTCGATAATAAAAAATTGTTTTTAAGTATCTAATTTAATTAAGTAATATATTTATTATTTAATATAAATAAGATAATCATATATATATATATATACTATTTTCATTCAGTGATTTTCTTTTGAAATTTTATTTTTACTAAAAAATATATATTTAGTTAGTCGCATATATAATTTATTTATTTTTTCATTAATTTTGAATAATGGTAAATACATTCACTTTCTAATGTTTGTGATATTATCTTTAAAGAAAACACTAATAAATTATGTTTTGTATTTTATAATTACTAATTTAATATAATAAAATTACATGTAATATAAAAATAATATATTTATCAATTTAAATTTAATATAAAATAATTTCATTCACAAAATATTAATATTTTCTCACTAAAAAATTTTACATATAAAATGATGATAAATATATAATTATAAAATAAAAAATTAAGCTTAATTAAGTTTTTATTTTGTCAAAAATTGGAATAAATTTGATTTTTTTTCTCAACTTTGTTTTTAACTCTTCAAAATAAAAATAAATTTCTCTAAATATTAAATTTGAGAAAATAAAAATAATTTTAAATCCTAAACTTGAAATCATAAATTATAAACATTAAATATTGACATTCTAAAGCCTGAATTATAAATCTAAACTATAAAAAAAATGTTCGAACTTTGTGTTTAAAAACTATGCCATTTTTTTTAATTTAAAAAAATGACTTAAAAACGTTCATTTTAAATTTTGGACACTAAAAAAAATAATAGTATGCGTTTATCTAATTAAAAAACTTACTTAATTTAATTCTACATTTAACAGTGATCTAACTGTGTTAATTAATATTTAATAGTTCTTAAATTGAATTAATTATATTTTAAATAATAAATACTAAAAAACATGAATTTAGTTATTATTTTTCTTGGTAATATTCTTACTTAAGAAGTCAAGTTATACATCATACATAATAATATTATATAATATAAACAAGTAAATAAATTTGGGTTGGTAGGGACTTAACACAAGTGTACCTATTTTTTATTGGACTTAAAATATTTATAGAAAATTTATTTTAATTTAAATATGACTTGACTAAGTATGGTAATATACAATAATACCAAGTCGACCTAATTTATCAAATCCACCTGATTTGTCACCACAATATACAATATGTATCGTACAACTGTAAAAGAAATATATAGACATGTAACTGAGATATAAATTTTACATATATATAATCTAAGAGAAATAATACTAGTATAAATATAATATTATAATATATAAATAAAATGTATTATTTTTACATAATATAAAAACTCACACTTTAAAGTTAATATATAACACCTTACTATATTAAAATAAACAAAGACCCGCATTATGATACATAATCTCCCTTACCTATTTATTGTTCTTAAAGTTTAGTTTAAGGATTTGTGATAGGGTGTATGCTTCTTATTGCGTTATACACTCTACTTTTATTCCACTTTTTTTATATCTAGGAGGTAGAAATATAATTAAATAAAATAAGTATGTAATAATAAGTAATATAATGATTTAGAAAAAGTTATAAATATTTATTGACAAATTAACTCTCTCTCTCTCTCTATATATATATATATATATATATATATATATATATATATATGAATAAAAAGTTAGTACTTAGAGTGTAATATATATATATATATATATATATATATATATATATATATATATATATTTTCTGAAAAGAAGACAGTGTTTTCTTTTCTATTTAAAAATATATGATATTTGAGTTAATTTTTTAAAGTATGAATAAATTACAATTTTAAAATTGTACAAATTACTTTTTTATTAATTGTATTTTTATTTTTTAATTATATTTATAGTAAAGAGAAAAATTATTATAAATAAAAATAGCAAATTGATTAAAAATAATAAAAACTAATACTCATATTAATTTACATATCTAATTTCAAAATATCATATATTTTAAAATATTGAGAAAAAAAAAAC